TCTCCAGCATGAAAGGACCTCATTTACCACACATGACTTTTATATAAAAGAAAATGTTTCTAGAAAATCATACTAGATTTCACAAAGTGAATCTAAAAGGAATGGCTTCTACTTTGAAAACAGGGCTGGGTTTGATCAGTGAATTCATATTCTCAAGACCCTCTTGATGGGTCTGCAGCTGCAGCCATTACGTGCTGCCTTTTTCACAGATGTAGACACAGAAAGCTCCGTGTTTTTTGTCTTTTCTTGTTGGATTTGTTGTCTTTATTATCAAAAAGTGGCAACTTTAAAAAAAGTTCTCAGTTTGGTTGTAAAAACTTGTGAATAGACTTTCTTGGTGGCATGTGTTGAAGTGACTATGACTTTTAAAATTCTAAGATCACAAAGTTGGCAGAAACTATACATAAATAACAGAAGGTGATCATTTGCATTTCAAAATTTATCTCTCTTGCTTTTCCCCTCAATTAGACCAAAACATGTTGATTCACAGGTTTCTGTGTATGTGTGTGTGTGTGTTTTCTTTTTAAAACTTATTTATAGAGCAGAATAATGGCCCCCCTGCTAGTCTGGCATTTGCTCAAGTTTCTGTCCATGCAAATCGAAGCTGTTACTGGAATTTTTTCTCAAAATATAAAGGCACATCAACCACAGGATAAAAAGATACAATGCTGATACTATGAAGTCCAGGGCAGGTGGACAATGTTTTTAGGCCAAATATGTGATAAGGATTCCCAGGAGATATAGGAGTAGAAGCCGCATGCTGTTTAAACATAAGTGAACCGTTCTTATCATAATCTTTTGACAACTTTACTTTCTAACCAAATATCATTTGTTTAACATGCTTAGACAATAATATTAACTGAATTAGGAAGTGAGTAAGAAGGGGGCCTGTGGAGAAAGGGTAATTACTTCACCCCTTTGTACTTCTAAGAGTAGATTAAAAGATAGCTAAGTACTTCACCACTCTCATGTACTGACTGGTGATTTTTAAGAACCAAAATATTTGCATCTTATCACTGTTCATCCTGTTCGAAAAGAGAAGAAAGGCCCAACTGCTTGTTTTTACCAGCAGTACTGTTGTTCATTGTTGAAATTAACAGTAACTTACAGTTTGGGGTTCCAATTCCTATATTACAACCGTTATAATAGACTTAACTGATTGCTGTAAGGCAATAGTTTTGAGACAATCTAAACTGTAACATCAGCAGTACTTTTTTAGTGAAGAGTATCGCTGGTTTTGTTTAACCCTGTTGACAAAACAAAGACATGTTCCCAAGAAATGGGGGGATCTTTCCACATTTTTTTCAATGTATGTCATAATACTGTAACACTTTTGCAACTCATAAAGCTTGAAAGTACAATTCTTTTATGCAAATAGTTAAAACAAAGCCCTTCTTCAGAATATAGCCTTCATCAAACTAGTGAAGGACAACCTTTGACGATGGCAGAAAATATCCATTAATGAAGACTGCCACCTGCTGGCAAGCTATGAGAACTGTGGTTTCAGGGAAATTATGCTTGAAAATTAGAATGAAAGCTGATTTGTATTAAATTCATTATTCAAGTATGCAAAACTGAAAATGCAGACCTGTTGATGAATATAGTACAAATTTCAGGATATCAACATACTGTGCTTTTTCACTGAAAAAAATATCTGCTAGATGCAAAGGCCCATTTTACACATAAGAATTAAGAAACAATAAAGATAGCAAATAAATAATAAGTTAAAAATATTAAACATATGATTCTGTTGTGTGTTTTATACTCAGGAAGGAACACGTTTCATACAAAAGAATTCCCAAATTATGGTTACCAGTGATGGGAAAGGCAGAAGAGAGGAGTAAAAATTAATAAGAAATACCTATTATTTGAGAGACTGCACTTTATGAAGAAGAACGTGGCATCAGAATTTGACCTGCATTATGTACATGACACAATCTTGCTTGGTGAAACTGAGAAGGACCTGAGGTGTTTGCTGCAGAAGGACTGGAGCCTTCAATATGGATTGTGTGTTAACATAAAAAAAAACCCAAACAAACAAAAAAAAACACCCCAAAAATTCTTACCCCTGAATCAAAAGGCAGCATTATGATAGAAAAAAGATTGAAATTGTTAACAATTTCAACTTGGTCAGATCCAACAATCAACACTCTTGGCACCAGCAGTCAAAAGACAAATTGCACTGGGAAAATCTGTCATCAAAGACCTCTCCATAGTGCAAAAGAACAAAGATGTCAGGCTCATGACTAAGGTGCTTCTGATGCAGGCCATGGTCTTCTCAATTGTTTGCTGTGCATCTGAGAGCTAGAAAATAACTAAGGATGACAGAAGAATCAATGCCTTTGAGTTGTGGTGCTGGAGAAGAACACTGAACACACCATGGACTGCCAAGAAAACAAGCAGGTCTGTCCTGGAAAGGGTGAAACCAGATTGCTCCTTGGAAGCAAGGATTTTGTAACTCTATATCATACTTTGGGGATGTTAAGGATGTTGTTTGGAAAGGGGAAGAATATCATGCTTCGAAGGGTAGGCGGTCAGTGCAAGAGAGGAAGAGCCTGTATGAGATGGATTGATATGGTGTATGGTCAGGTGTGTTGGAGATGGTGAAGTTAGCTCTCTATAGGGCAAGGTTCACAGACTGTTCATAGGGTCACTATAAGTTATAGTTGACTTGATGTCACATAACAACAACAAAATTAAGATGAGTGAAAGGAAAGAATAAGAGGTGGATGATACACCATATTATGTAAATTAATTGTAACTAATGCTATAAATATGAACTTTGAGAAATGATGATAGTTATAGAAAGACTTCAGGTCTTTTTTTCACAGGGTCACTATGAGCTTTGCTCGACTCGACAGCAATCATCATCAATAACAACAATGCTATAAACCAAAATATGTATGAATGACCAAATAAAAAAGTAATATGACACATAAACTACCACTCCAAAGTAAATTTCCAAATTTAATTTTTATCCTAAAGCCTCATCCACTTCCTAAAATAACATACCTCTGGAAACTCTATGATAAATGTTGATAGTTGTAGAGGGGCTTCAGGCCTTTTATTCAAAGGGTCGCTATGAGTTGTGCTTGAATCGAAGGCAATCACCAACAACAACAATTTAAAAACACACACACAGAGGAACCCAAAATGTTATTTATCAAATTATAAAAGTGTGGGAATAATCTGTTAAAATTGAAACAAATAACTATAATAAAGCATCTTTACTAAAACATCATTTCCCACTAAATCACAGTGATAAGGTTTAAAAAAATATCATATTACTTATTTGTGCAAAACAAAAAAAAAGTATGCTCTAAAAAAAATGTATGCTCTACGGCACATTTGAGAAGAAATAAAATCAAGTAGTGGCAATGTGCAGGAAGGAGGAAGAAGAAAAAAGTATACAGTAGAAATATGAAAAAAAAATAGTTTTCAGATACTTGCTTTACAGGTTGAAAAACTTTGTTAATACCCAATAGAGAAATCCTTTGTGAAAATTAAGACTGTAGGTTAAAAATGTATAGCTCTTTCAACCATAATTAGCCATTTCTCAAAATGCAGGAGAAGAACAATATTAGCATCAATAATGTGCTGATTTGATTATGATATTGTTTTAGATGTCAACATGTTGTTCTTTGGGGGTAAGTGTGTCAGAGTGAGTGAGAATGGCTCAGGACAGCACAGGCTTCAGAGTGATTATACTTAAGGGCCGCTGTGAATCACAGGCAGGTGACTTGATGGCATGTAACAGCACTGATAACACCACCACCACATTGTTCTAACTCAAAGTGCCCCTCAGACACACACCCTGCTGGACCCTGCACCATCCTCACAATTGCTGTGTCCAAACCACTGTTGTAACCGCTCAGTGAGGATCTTCTTAATTTTCTCTGATCCTCTACTTTACCAAGCATGATGTCCTTCTCCAGACTCTGGCCCCTCCTAATAACATGTTTATAGTATGTAGGGTAAAGTCTTTCCATCCTCACTTACTATGCTGGTTAGATAGTTGCTAAGCATTATAAAAAAAATACTGATCAACAACTAAGCCTATTATGTCAGCATAATCTGCTTGGTCTTCTATTAAAGGCCAGTAGTATGATGAACAAGGTAACTCTGGACATCCACAGAAGTTGTGTGTTAGGCAGAAGACGGAGTAACTTTGGATTTAACGACCTGTACCAATGATAGACAAGATGCTAACCCAAATCCAATTAATATGCTTAAGCTACCTGTAATCATTAGCAAAGATGCTAACACAAAGAGAAAGAAAATTCTAGTTAAAATAAAAAAGCAAGAGAAAAGGGATGTGCAAGAGAAACCTGTTCTCTCAAACTGTTGGCTAAAAAACGCTGCCTATAAACAAACTGCACGGTTCCTGAATGGTCTCAAACACCGAACATGACTTGTCACTGATAAAACAAGTATTGTCTTTTTAAAAAATGCTGCATTTTATATATTGTACTCTTAACATTTCCCCCTTTTAGTCAATAAAAATCAATCATTTAAAAAGTATTCAAGATATTGATTTAAAGGTCTTTCTAATCTCTATGTAGTTAAGATATTCTGAAAATGGAATATACTGACAGTTTTAAGGGAAGTTCAAACTCTTTTAAGGACAACAGAAATATGTGTGTGTGTGTGTGTGTGTGTGTGTGTGTGTGCGCGCGCGCGTGTGTGTCCACACACTCATTGTTGCCAAGCCGACCATCTCTTGAGCTGCCACAGCTGTAAACTCTTCGGGAGGGGACCACCATCACCTCTCTAACACAGAGCCACTGGTAATCAGAACCATCAGGGAGGAGTGGCCTGTGGATTAGCAGCGCAACCCCTTAAAAGACCACGCCACCAGAGATTCCCGTACACACACGTTGTTGGCCTTAAAATTGTTCTTTTAGAGATAACTAAACCGTATCTGCACTTACAACTTCTACAAGAAACAAGAACTGCCAAAATAATTTTTCAAGTGAAACATTTCAGGAGATTGCTCTAACCTGGGGCACAGTACATTCTCTCTATGGCATCGCTGTCACAGGAATCTTCAACCTCACTCCACCTGCTAAAATACGTTAGCTGAATGTGTCCTAAAAACAAAACGACAGGAGAAATCAAAACATTTTTCTCTTCCATTTTCTGCAGAAGTGAACTGTAATTACTCCTTTTGTAGCTAAAAACAGTATCATTAAGAATAATGGCATCATTAAGTACTAGAAGCTATTACTGGGGGTGAATTTGCTGCACTGATAATGAAGCTCTAGACAGGAAATGAAGATACTAATTACAAGATAAAACGCCTACTCAGTTAATTGGAAGCAACAGCGAATAAAAAGAAATGCATTTGCAAAAGTTCCTGACCTCTATCATTCAATAAGATGTTGTTTGGGTTCAAATCACGGCACACAATTCCCTCTCTATGTAAAGCATTGAGGGCTACCACCATTTCAGCTGCCCATCTTTGAATGCAGTCCTCTGGGATGTAAAACCTGGAGCTTAGTGCCAATTTTTTATCAAGGTCCTCAAAGATCTGATGTATTTCCTTGTCTTCTTCTAGTGCTAACCCACTCTCTCCTTTGGTCTCAGGGTCTCTCTGGAATAAAGAAGTTGGATCTTCTTTAGTTAAATCATCCGCTTGATCCGTAAACAGCAATACTTCTTCTGTTTTTAAAGTGTCTGTGTTTGTAGTGTATTTATGAGCACCTGAGAGTGGGACAGACATGTGCTTCCTTTCTTCTGTGTTGTTTGCAGTTAGAGCTGACCCAATCACTCCAAGTCCTTGAAACTTAGGGCCAGAGCTGGGTAACAAAGGCACGTCTCCTGAACAACCATGATCAACAGCTGCTATAAATAACATCCCAAGTTCCTCCTGTGTGTGCATAGAGTCTCTCTGGTACTCTATCGGATTTGGGCACGTGGGGATCCCGCACATCCTCTGGGCCACTTTCTTCACGGGATTGGCATTGTTCAGTACTCAGCCCGAGGCATAAAACGTCGGGGGCTTCCAATAGCTTACTTTCTAAGATGCCTATAATAGCTTGTGTAAACTTAGTAGGTCCCATGGCTGTAGCTTCTTTTGCTGGCTCCAATTCACCAGGAAGATTGACAAGAAGATCAGGCCTTCCCTCATCAGTACCAATGACATCATCAAAAGCAGCATCTTTAAAAGAAATAACTGGCACTGAGTCATTTGAGCCTCGGCTGATAGTGTCCTGAGCTTTGAAGTCCACCTTGCTCTCACCAGTATTAAGGCTCTTGGAAGTGCTGTCTCCATCTGGAAGAGTGAAGAATGGTTTCAAAGGTTCTGATTTTAGATTATACATTTTTTCTCCAAAATCAAGTCCCAAGAGTTCACTAGTGCTATCTTTACTGTCTATCCTAAAGAATTCCATGGGGCTGTTTTTAGATCTACTGAGGGAATCTGACGCTTTGAGAGAACTCACTGTTTCTAGGTTATCATCTTCAGGGAAGAACTTTGGCTGGGTGCTGGGGCTGTCAGCATCAGCACCAAGGGGAGCTGGGAAGACTTGGACAGCTTTGGCATCTTCAAGCTTCATAAAGGACTCCTCACTTAAAGATCCTGGTTCAATCTTTTCTTGCCCATATTCATTGCATAATGTTAAATAGCTAGTAGTGCATTCTTCTTCTGAACTTGAACCAGAGTCTGGCCATTTTGGAGAGCTATCCTGCCCATCGTCCTCCTGGTTGCTATCATCTTGAGAGCTTGGAGTAAGACTAGTCTTCAGAGGCAGAACCTGAAGCAAGCTCCCACCATCACTTCCTCTGGATTCGAAACTACTGCTGTCCTGAGGACTGGAAGTTGGCTTCTGCAGGTGAACTTTAGTAAGTGGAGCCTTCTTCCCTCCTTGGATGTCAAAACTTTCTTCAGGACTCCTGTTTAGAAACTTACTGATGTATGACCAGAGTTTACCACCTGTCAACAAAAAAAAAAGGAGAAAAAATTTAAATCCCCAAAAGAATGGTTACTTATTTAACCATTAGAAAAGCAAGAAGTAGTCTATTAATCAAAAATAGGACAATGATACATATTAATATAAAATATGCTGTTAAGAAAAGGATGTTTAATAAAATGCTTGTATTTGCAATTGCCAACTCATGATTCAATCATATCTCCTGAGATTAATTATTTTTAAATACCAACCTATTTCTTCATTTGAAGGCAATTGGTGATAATAAATGCAAATATGAAATCTCACAGCTAAGATTCTGCTTTAAAGTTAAATATTATCAGTCAGAGAAACATGTTCTTTCCTGGTAGTTTTCTCATTATCTGCTTGTCTCATCCTTCAAGATCCTTCAGAAGATGCGACTTTTACCAAATTTTTTTGGTAAATTTCGACAAAATAAAACAAAATTCATATTTTCTCTGAATCCTGTATTAAGTTGATCCCTTTTGCAACATCATCATCATTATTATTATTATTATTATTATTATTATTATTTAGTGTGTTTTTAGTATCTCTTTTACCAGACTGCAGTGACAACTATAAGTAGAAAAGTCTGTCTGGTATGTAAAATAAGAGATATTAAAAGAAATATTTAATAACTTGAGTCATAAAACAATGATACCTTTATAAACATGTTGGAACTCTTTCATGAAAAGTACTGTTACTCAAACACAATTAATGCCATTTGCTTGGGGTCATATTTTCTATTTTAAAACATAGAGACTTACAGTAAAAATATGAGAAAATAGTGAATATTCAGAAAAATAAACTATTCATGTTTGCCATCACAACTGGAAAGCAATTTCAGGGGGTTTTATTCACAATTAACATCATAGCATGAACTTTATTTTTTAATTGTATGAGAATATGAATTTGAATGGCTGTATAGCTTATCTATTTCATAGACATTATGAAGCATTCAAATGGTCTTCCACTGTTGGGCATTTAACTTTTCTAGTCTTTCATTACTAAAGTAATAAATACTTTTGAATGAAAATATCTGAGAAACTAAAAAACACATTGCTGTCAAGTCGAAACCAACTCAGAGCTTATTCACCATTGGGTTTCTCAGGCAGTAAATTCCAGGGGAAGAGACTTCCCATATTTCTTGCTTGGAGTTGCTGGAAGATTCAAACTGCTAGAGGTGTGGGCTAAGGGTTAGCAGCACACCAGCAGAGCCTCCCAAGTATCTGACAGTCCTAATTATTTTATCAGGACAGAAATTAAAGGACTGAACACAGATCAAAAGTTTTAACACTTTTGATCCATGTTGCTAAATTTGCTGCCCAGAAAGACTATACCAAAATCTATCTGCAATATGTATAGGTCCCATTTTTACAGCACCTTGCCTTTACTGGATATTATCAAGTTTACAAATTTAATCAATCAAAAATGGCACCTTAATTTGATTTCTACTCTTCTCATTATTGGATAAAAATTCTTGGCACTTTCCTTATGGAATCTGTTCTGAGTGTAAATAAATATGAATTTTAAGAGCTTCACACTTAACATGGGGGGAAAATGTTCTTTTTATTCCCTATTCTTTGCTGAGTACTCAGTAAAATCTGATACTACATATACAGTGACTGTAGCAATAGGCTCAAGAGTACCAGAGATGGTGAGGATGACACAGGACAGGATGAGATTCAGGTCTGTCATTTATAGGGTCGCTGTAAGTTGTGCTCAACTACATGGCACCTAACAACATATCATTCCTCAAAGAGTTGAACATAGAAATTCCATATGACCCAGCTATTCTCTACTTGGAATATAATCCGAGAAAACGAGGACTGAGGCACAAATGGAGATTTGTACATCGATGTATCGCAAAAACAAAATTTTAGTTTTATCAAATATTTTTTCAAATAAAAAATAATTTTTTAAAATCACACTACCTATAAAACACATTATTCTATTTTTATTGAAGTTCCCCACCCACAAAATCTGAATGAATTTTAACTTCCTATAGAGTTAAGATTAGGACCAATAGACAAATGCACCCAAGAAATTCAGCATTATTATTGTACTCTTAAACAATAATGTACACTTCTCACAACCCCTCAAAAAAACAAACTTATTGCTAAATCTCAAAATGTAAGTAGAAAATACATAAAATGTTTATAATTTTTAAACATTATTAATACAAATGACACCTCTCTAAGTCATGCTAAGTGATGTAAAATTATAAATATCAAATTAAGTTATGAAAATAATTCTTTTTTTATAAAATTTTTATTTTAATTGTGATTTTAACAAAAGTTTACAGATGTTAGATTTTCACTTATTTATTGTTGCACATTTTTATCCCCTCTCCTTCCCTCCCTTCTCCCTTCCCCAGTTCATTTGTTTTAGTTTTCTTAAATATCATTCATTATTGCACAATTACCTCTCTCCTGCCAGTCCTTTTTGCAATGTACCTCTTTCTTAAGACTTATTGAAAACTCCTCTCTTCATCTTTCATCATATTTTAGCTCTACCTTGCTGTTTTTCTACAATACTACAAAGTCAATTTGCTAATTTGCTTGATCAGAAACTTTGCTGTTTTACTTATACAAAACCTACACCTGGACCAGGAGACTACTGTGCAAAAAGAGTAGGGAAACACTGCATGGTTGTAGGGAAACACTGCATGGTTTAAACATAAGAATGGAGTGTGTCAGGGTTGTATTCTCTCTATATACCTATTCAGTCTGTATGCTGGGCAAATTATTTGAGAAGCTGGACTCTATGAAGAGAAATGTGGCATCAGGATCGGAGGGAGACTCATCAATAACCTGCGTTTTGCAGATGGCACAACCATTCTTGCTAAAAGTAGGAAGAACTGAAGCACGTGTTATAGAGGATCAAGGAATGCTGCCTTCAATATGGTGATAAAACAAAGATTGTTATCACTGGACCAACAGGCAACATCATGGTGGATGGTGAAGAGACTGGAATTGTCAGCAACTTCATCCTACTTGTATCCACAATTAACTCCCTTGGTACCAGAAGTCAGGAAACAAGGAGACATATCACATTGGGAAAGTCTGCAGGTAGGGACCTCTCCAAATTACTGAGGAGTAATGATGCCACTTTGAGGACTTAGGTGCATCTGATTGAGGTCATGGCTTTTTCCCTGATCATGTGCTATGTATCTGAGAGCTGGGCAATGACTAGAAATGAAAGAAGAATTACTGATGTCTTTAAGATATGGTGTTGGAGAAGAGCACAGAATACCCCATAGATGGCCAAAAGAACAAATGTTTTGGAGAGGGTGCTGCCAGAGTGCTCTTTGAAGGCAATGATGACGAGGCTTCATCTCACATACTTAGGACATATTGCTTAGGAGAGGTTATTCCTTGGAGACGGACAAGATGCTGGGAAGGGTGAGGGAGAGGAAGACCCTCAACCAGGTGGATTGACACGGCGACTGCTGTAATGGGTTCTAGTGTGTTTGGAAGTGTGAAAATGGCATAGGACAGGATGGGATTCAATTTGCTGCTCACAGGGTCGCTATGGGCTCTACCAGACTCTACAGCACCTAACAACAAGCTGACCTAGAGTGGTATCCTGATTCATATTACCTAAACACAACGGAACAAACAATGGTCAGTCTTCTATTAGATCTGACTGCTATGACAGGGCTTCTATTGGTTGATTTTTCAGAAGATTGTCAAGTCCTTCTTCATCGTCTGTCTTAGTCTGAATGCTCAGATAAAACTTATTCAGTATCCTAGCAAAATATAAGCTTCACTGAGGGATAAGTCGTGGTCACACATAACATATACTGGCCTAGAACCCAAGTCTCTTGCATAAAAGGTAAAAATCGTACCAGTGAAGCACAAAGGCCTTCACTAGGCAGAATTAAGAGTCAAATTTCATATATTTGACATACGGTTGTTAGAGCAACGACTAACATTATCTTTTGACTTAGCTATTCCACTTCAAAAAATCCATCCTACAAATAATCCTCAAAAGAATAAAACAAAAGTTATACGTAAACAAACAATTAGAGGTAATAATTTAAACTATCAACTGTCAGTGTTGTCTGCCAGTTGGAAGTGACCCACAGCTGATCTTTCAATGGGTTTTCAGAGGCACACGAGAAGAGTGTCCACCCTTCTCTGGAGGTGCTGGTAGATTCGAACTGTGTGCCTTCAGGATAGCAGCACAGCTACTTTTCACCAGGCCACCAGTCCTCACCCTTAACAATCAATTTGTTGTTGTGTGCCTCTGAGTCAGAACTGACCCATAGCTGAGCATGCAGTGGGTTTTCAGAGGCAGTTAACTGCATGGGTGGAGATTGCTCATCCTTCTACCACAGAACAGCTGGTGGCCTCGAACAGCCTACCTTCGGGATTGTAGCACAGCTTTTTGCTACTAGGCAACCAGAGTGCCCCTGAACAATCAATAAGGGATAAATAAATTATGATAAAACCTTAGAATCACTTTTTATATATTAAAAAAATTAAAAGCAGTATTTGCAAATACTTGTCCAAAGCTTATCCTGTATCAGTCCCTATTCTAAGGGCTTTTTGTGTATCAGCTCATTCATTTAAGAAATATGGGGGAACGACAGCCTTTTTAACAAATGGTGTTGGCAAAATTGGAAAAATATCTGCAAAAGACTCAAGCAAGACCCACACCTCAC